GCAACGCCAGGCTCTACTGCTAGTATATTGTTGTGTATGATACACCTAATTTACATAGGTGGAGTACCAACCATATAAATATGGGTTGGTACCGGAAGACGACGGAAGATTAAGAGATCGAATCCAGAGACTCTGCCCGACTGCGACTTAGTCAACCCATTCTGCAGGAACAGTCTTCCCAAGAATATACCAAAACTAACTGTAAATATTGTGTACCTTTTTCCTTGTTTCAATACATTTTGTTTACGTACATTTTGTGTTGTATTATTATTATTATTCCATGCTTATCCAAGCTTCAACATATATTCTATTGGAGGATCTGGCTATGACACCATAACTTGTATCAAAGGTTGACTGGCAATCCAACTAAAGAAATAAAAATATTTTTCATGTTAAAACAATGCATACCATAAATTTTCTAAATTTTGTGCCACTTATAGAGTATAGTGTGAGAGGGTGAAATTGTAAGCTTCGGTGGGATTTGGTTATTAGGTACAGTCTTAAGTCTTAGATCTGTTTAACTTAAGTGTTGTTTTCATTTGATAAAGGAATTGTTCATTGGAATGAGTTACAGTAAGCAAATCTTTACAGTCGGGTTTGTTTTGATCAGGAATATAACACACTTTCAGATAGAATTGATGATGATACCTGTAATAATCAGGCCAAACAAAGGTGAGATTCTGGAACATGGAAAATGTTCCACTGAAGGTGGATATGAACAATGCAATTGTTTTGATTGGCCCACCAGTGAGAAAAGGTCTGAAATGGAGCTTCTCATTTCCCACCTCTGATACTTAAAACACAAAGCCATTTATTTTGATTGGACCACCAATCATATTGGATTCTTGGGGGCTTTCCTTCTTCCCCTTCAAGGTATATGACACAAGACCATTGGTCAAGCATTATTATTGGCTAGCCATTCAGAGCAGTGCAATTGGTGTTTGCACCCTCATAAAAGCAGTTGCCAAAAGAGAAATAAGAATGAACTGATTTCTCCATTAGTAGCACTCTCCCTGCTGGATGACTGTCGTGCCTCAACCAGTCCTGTTCTCTGCACCTCTTTTTGGATCTCCTTGATCAATTTCATTAATTTAAATAGTTGAACAACTCTGGGTTGTTTAGCCATAACTACAACTGCTAGTCAACCTCTTCCTTCCTGCTTAAGAATTTCTTATACATGGAAACTTTTTCTTCTTTTGTTTATACACTCATAATATTAATCATAGTACCATGAATAAAAGTTGTTATTTTTACATTTGATTTTAGTCTTTCACAAGCATAACCAAGACAGAGAGGAGTCAAGCCTGATCTTTGACAGTACTTCACCAATATTTCCGTAGATACTGAAACGCAAAAACACAATGTGGGGACACAGGATTGGTGCAGAGTGGGCTCACCAGAGACAGACTAATGGAAAGGGATCAAATTAAGAGTGACATTCAGCAAACCATGCAGCAACAGAGCCACACAGCTTTTTTTTTTAAAATCATTTCACATATTTATATTATTCAAACTCAGACTATTACAATTAGAAGTAAGACAATGAAATCAGGTATGGCTGATCATGATATATGTAAAAGGATGTTAAAAGCAGATAGAAAAGAAACAAGGCAAAAATTCTCATCAGATTTATTTAACCTTCACAATGAGGCATTCCTAAGATAACTAGAAATTCTACCAAGAATTATTATTGGCAGACACAAACTTAACAATGTAAGATATGCAGATGACACAGGGCAGATAGAAAGAACAATGCAGGAACTTCTGGAAAATGTAGTAAAGGAAAGCAAGAAAAATGAACTTTTAATTATAACATAGAGTGTAGTAAAAGAAAGTGAGATAGCCCAAGATGTGAGCTACACATTGGTTATCAAAATCAAACAAGTATACAAATTTAAATATCTGAGAAGTTTTATAACAGACAGAAAATGTGACACCAAAATCTGAAAGCACATTTTAATAGTAAAAGATGCTTTGCCAAAGCTAAGCAAATTTTCCTGTCTTTCAATAATTATTTGTTAGAAACAAAGAAAAGAATTCTAAAACTGCTATGCCAATATTCCTACATGACAGTAGATGCTGGACAATTTTCTTATAGAAGATTTGAGGCAACAGAGATGTAGTTCTACAGAAAGATGCTGGCAGTATTGTGGATGGAACATGTGAGCAATAAGGAAGTTTTAAGAAAAATTGAAGTAAAAATGACTTAGAATGAGAAAGAGACAATTGAAATTTCTGGGATACATAATGAAGAAAGAAAGCTTGGAGATTTTAACACTTACAGGACATACTGAAGGCATGCTTGTATAAATGGATGGCAAAACGGAAACTGGAATGGGTAGTAAGGAAATAAGCATTGTTTAGAGCTATAAAGGATAGGATTTTGTGGAGAGTCATGATCGCCCACATCCTGAAGGAACACATCACATAAAAGAAGAAAAGGAAACACCCTGTAAAATACCATTTTTTCTTTGTTTTACCTTTGTTTTATATTCCTGTTGAGAAGAAATATTTGTTGGGCTGAGTGGGTTATCAAAGGATGATTCAAGCATCAATGATGGATGATTCTGAGCCAGTGACTTGATCAGTTGACCATCAATTTTATGGGTGACCTCTTCTTGCTGTCTGTCCATTGTACATATAACCAAGTCATTTCTGTTTAAAAAATTGTTTAGAATAAAATAAAATATTTATGCATATATATATATATATATATATATAATGTTGGAAATTCTAATCATTTTATTTACATTATTTGCATGTGGACTATTGTCCTCATCTTTGTTGTTATCATCACAACAGCAGCAGCAGTAACAAAAAGAAGCTTTAGTTGTGGGACAAACAGCAGCAGCAGAAGCAACAGCATTCAGCAGCAGGCAGGTTATGTTTAAGGCATAACTCTAGTAATGGAGATACTCAGAAACGAGCAGTCAACCATTGCTTGCTTACAAGCATTCTCTCTCTCTCTTTTTCATGCTTTCACTTTCTCCCTCTCACTACCAATCTATTGATACTTACTATCTCTTACTGGAAAATATGTTTCAAGTATTTCTCAACATTACATTGTCTTAGAAAAGCTGAACTTAAGACAATCAATCTTGACCAAGCATCTCATCTCCAGTCACTTTCTCACAGATGTGACATGACTTTGCTCTGCCTATTTTACAAGTATTTTCATGGCAACTGCTCTAATGAGCTTTTTTCCCTGGTGCCCCAACTACATGAATTTAAGCATGTTACTAGATTGGCAACTAGGTCCCACCCTTTTACTGTTGAAATAGTTAAATGCATCTCTCACTTCTACTCAGTTTTTTTTTTTTTTGCACTTCCAACCAGTGGAAATCCCTTTCAATTTCTTACTTTCCTGATAACTACAATCTTCATTTCAAAAATTTAAATGCAACATCAATTGCCATTTTCTGTCTTCTTGAACCTTGTTCCTTTTTTGTCCTTTCCTCAATCCTCCCAATTTTCAATCTTCTCATTCTCTTTCATTTTCACTCTCTGTAACCCCCTACATTCTAGTAGCATTGTTGTCTTGCTTAGGGTGAAGCAATAAAAATAAATTTTACTTAGATATATTCAACTTATCATATTTCCTGCCATATAAGGTGCACATTTCTTCCAAAAAAAATCCTCTTAAAACCATCCTGGTAGTAGACACACACCTAAAATCACCTGTTTGACATACTAGTCCCCTGATGATCTCCAAAATGAAATACATATAGATTACAAATAAAATAATAAATTATTAAATTATGATAATAAATTAAACAGTTATATAAAACTTTACAGACATTTTACCAAAATATCAGTCTTTGAATATTTTTTCTATCACACTCTATTAACAATTAAAATGGATTACCTTGATCCAAGAGTTAAGAATTGCTCTTTAATCCACAAATATTCTTGGCTAATCCTCATGTTTCTTAATTCATTATCTTGGTCTTCCAGCCTAAACGACAAAAAAAAAAAAAAAAGCAGAAATCATTCTCATAAAAAATCTTTTATTTTATGCACAAATAAAGTCGATGGCTTTAAACAGAATTGAATAATATTCTTTGAATAATTTATGTCATAGGTTTTTCAATGAGGGATTATCATTATTATATGCCTTTCTATTTTGACTAGTATCTTTATTTTGATTGTTATATTCTGAACATTTCAGCCATTATAACTTCCATTGAGAAAAACATACCTGACTGGCTGGTAGTTGTGAGATTGTAGGTACATTATTATTATAAATAAATAAAAAAAAATAAATAATAATAATAATAATTAATTATGAATATTATAAATAAAATAAAATAAAACAGTAACATGAAAATGTTGTATAAAATACATTAAGTAAAAAATAAAAATAATAAAATTTTCCCAACATGCAACAAAAACTGTTCCTGTCAGAAATACAGACATCCTGCCAAAAGGTATTAAAATTCATTCTCTTTGTCAGGAACCCTCAGAGAGTCAACATGTGTCCAACTTCTCTCTGTAACATGATGAATAATAATATGAAGTAACTTCTTCGTCTCATTACATGTACCATGAAACATTTACAACCAAAAATACACACGCCAGTACATATAAAAAAATAAATAGATTGTATAAAATTAACATAAAATTTACCATACTTTCCTGTTATTTCTGTACATTTTTTTTCCTGTCAAGTATGTTTATATCTTCATGAACATGAGGCTAATTTCTGCTGCTTTGATATGAGTGACCTCACAAGTTCAATCCCTGGGTTGATTTTTGATTGATTGATCAACTTTTTATAGGTTATTTAAAGTCAGGAAATATTTTTAGATTGTAAAATTTTTTTGTTGAAATAATAATGGTTTAGTGGTAAAAGTCTTACTAATTAGCCCATAGCTTGGGGGAGAAGAGGTGGATTTATACTTTTCCCAAGTGTATTTGCATGTAACAAACCCAACAGAAATTAGAATATGGCTCTCTGATTAACAATTCTGAGTATCCATTACACCACCTGCACATCCAAGCTTACAGCACCTTGTATTCCAAAGCAGTCACCCATCTAGGTACTGGCCAGGCTCACAATTGTTTAACTTCAGTGATCGTATGGGAACTGGTATTTCAATGTGGTTGGGGAGAAAATTCATATATTCTGGTTGAGTGGAAGAAACAGTAAAGTGATACAAAAGTGAAAAAGACTCTTAATTGATCTAAGATATGCCCTAAGCATGGAAAGCAGAATGAGTCTACCTTCATTGATTGAATAAAGGGTTCTGTACAAAATTCCAAGAAGGTTACTGAGTACAAATTTACTGAAGAAGACTCGAAGCATAATGGCCAAAACATTGTGAGTATAACAACCAAGATAAATATACTAGTTTAAATAGAAAGGTATATAATATTCTTGAAATATTTTCATTGTGAACAGATGGGAATATTTAAGTATGTATAAAAATATGCATGTAAACTTGAACCTTTGTGCCTGCAAAAAAGTGGAGTGTCAAAAGGACATTTTTTAAACACTACTTTTACTTAAGTAAAAAAATAATTATGATCCTCCTAAGAGTTATAAAAAGAAAATTTTTTCAATAGTAAACAAGTCAACCCAGAATCAATTCAATAATGTCAGCTTATCTTTAAAATATGACAATTTCTGTTATTTCTTTATGGCAAGCCAAAAGCAAAATGTCAAATATCCTCTAAAAAAAACCTCTATACTCCTTACAGCATATGACATGCTGGTAGAAAAATATCAAACAACCCACTAACAACCACTACAGCATCTTTTGAGATGAAATATTATCTTTGTGTGAACTTTTTTTATCAAACTTTTGAATGAATTTCTCATTTACACAAGCTCTAAAAAAGAATTTCTCCTGTTTCAAACCATACACATCAAATACAAAGTTTTATACTCCAAAATGTACACAAAAATCAAATAACACACATGCACACAACTTTAGGCACAAAAACTTATTATAAAAATGTATATAAATTGCTCTATTGAATATTATAGCTATTTGTTCAAAGTTTGTAAATGTTTTGTTATATAACTTTGACAGACCAACAAATACCAATTCTGATATATTTTACTTTTTTTTTATTTCAAATGGACTCAAATACCATCAACTAGTTTCTACTATTCATTATATTTTTCTATTGCTTTCATACTTACACTGTAAGTACTACAGGGTGCGATAGATAGATTGTCTAAATTACACAAAAATGAAAATAACACTAACATCTCATTTTAACAGCTATATTTAACAAAATTACATAAAAATACTTTGAAGCCCTAAAGAGTAAATTTATTCAATAAAATCACCATTGGTTTCAACCATAACCTCCAGATGACATCAGAATCTCCTGCAACTCTTCTGGGACGGTCTATTAAGTTGTGAATGCTGCCATAATCCTTGCCTTCAGTTCATCTTTGTTGTTTACAAGGAGTTTTGTTGGTTGTTCCCTCAACATAATAATCTAAGTGGTTGCAGTCTGGGGAGTTAGGTGGCCAGATGTAAGAGGTGATGTGGTCGCAGAAATTGTCTGACAGCCATGACTGGGTTCTCCTGCTTGCGTGGCATGGTGCAGAGTCCTGTTGCCAGACATAGAGTCTTCCAACAGCCACCTATTTGACCGAAGGCAGCATTATCTCCTCCAGGCATGATGCAGGCCTGCATGTTGAAACTGAGGCCCTGTGGGATGATGAATGGAGCCATAATGTCACCATCACTAGTGATCACTCCAAACATCATGATGTTGACTGGATATATATTTCAACTCTTTTTGAATCTTCTGAACTGTCCCCAGATTGACACCCAAACACACTGAAACATTTGTATTGAAGATTCTGGCATGATTGCCAAGCAGTACAGCATACCATTTCCAAATTTCTAGCAGAGAGAATTGCGTCATGGTGTTCTTTTTCTCACAGATGGTGACCAACTGACCCTACTATACTGTGTAGTTGATAAAATCAAAAACAAACAACGCACATGTGCAAAATTAATAATTTAAAATGGCAACAATTTACTTGTTTCACCCTGTAGTTATCACATTTCCAACTAACACCTATAGTATTCAGCTAAGTAGAATTTGTTGTCATTGGATTTGACTGTATCACATATCATCCACCATTGATCACTGTATATCAAACCAATGTATCAAACTGTTCATGATTGCTTATCTTTGCAACTTGGAGAGCTTCTGCCTGCTCCAGATATCTGATTATTGATGCTTGCGCTTCATATTTCAATTCTAACAGTTTCTTTCCTTCGAATTGTTATCTTCCAACTTCTTAATTCCTGTACTTATTGTTTTCTTTCCTTAATAATATTGTTTTCATATTCTCTCACATGTAGTAATCTCTTGTATCTTAGTGATTTTATTGCCTTACTTGGGTATAAATGTTTTAAAAAATTCATATATATATATATATATATATATATATATATATATATATATATATATTATTTCAATTTCAATTGAGCCTTTACTACTTTACTGTTTGTATGTTTTTTCACAATTGTAATTTGCATTTTACAAACCGACTCTGGTAATAATTCCAGTATTTTTCATTCCATTTTAACTTAGTAGATGCCAAATCCTCCTGGTGTTGACTTTCAGAGAGTCTTTCTTGAAGAATAAACAAGTCCATCTTGAGCTACAAAGAATAAAGATTGAAAGTGCTTAAGAATTAATAAAAAGTTAATTGAATGTACTTAAGAATTAATATAGAATTAAATGAAAGTACTTAAGAATTAAATGAAAGTACTTAAGAATCAATATAGAATTACAAAATGCTTGTGGAATGTTGAGAGGGTTGGCCTTCACAGAATATTCAACTTGTCCACAAAAAAAAAAAAGGAAAGGAAAAGAAAAAGGCAGATAAAGTGCAAATACAAAATTTATTAATCAAAAAATTGTTGAAATGATTTTACAAACATTGTTTTTTTATTCAATCTTTTTCTTTTTTGAAATAAGTTTTCACATGACAATAAAAAGATTAGACAAAGGAAGATTACTTCATGACCCCTCTTACTACCTTAACTCAAACTTTTACTTGAGCTGGTTACTTGATATGTTACCTTTTATTTATTCATAAAGTGTGGCCCTAGTGTTAAACATAAGAATATGCATTAATATTTAACTGAAATTAATAATGTTAATAAATATTTCATGGTAATTGTTTTAATGACCTTTCCTCTTTGGTACTTAGCCTTTATGAATTTAAGCACAGTATGAGGTTGGCAACCTTTTTTTTTGGCCATGCTCCACCTAAGCACCTCTAAAATCCTGATGTCCCACCTCTCTGAGACATATATTTCTTATCATTATTCAAAAATCAAACTCCTATTCAGGTGGAGGAAGCCTAAAACGCCATTAACTTGATCTAAACAAGCTTCCAAAGATCACGACATCCATGAAAGAGAAAAATAAAAAACTGAAAGGACTAAGTTCTCTTTATGCATTACACAGTGCACAAGAATTATTTCTGGATTCTCAGTTTTCATCAATTTTAAGCAGCCATTTGTTTTGCCCATCATAACAGGATTACAAGTTGTTATGTTTTCCATTGATATACTATTCAGAGCCTACCTGAATGAATAAATAGGGGGCTTTGGATTAAACTCAAGGAGTCAACAAACAGATGCTGCATGAACCCAGGTTACCCTGGTTCAGGAAGAAAAACAACACAGAAAAAATTTGATGACCCCCAGATAAGAATTGAAAGGAACATCAAAAGTCACTCCCACATCAAAGAAAATTCTTCGGCTGTTGTAATTGTTCTATTCTGTTACCATGGACTTTGCTTCAAAATTTTTTCCTATTCTTTGAAAACTATTCTGAGAAGTATTTTTCCCTTTTATTCATTTATTTTTATGTTGTTTACCTTTTCTGAGGGCCTCTTATACAACATTGTAATTTTCTGAGGGCCTCTTATACAGCATTGTAATTTTCTGAGGGCCTTATACAACATTATAATTTTCTGAGGGCCTCTTATACAACATTGTAATTTTCTGAGGGCCTCTTATACAGCATTGTAATTTTCTGAGGGCCTTATACAACATTATAATTTTCTGAGGGCCTTATACAACATTGTAATTTTTTTGTAAAAAAGGTATATTTTATTTGCATTGATCATTTTTACATACATGTTATTGGACATCATTTGGCACACAAAGCACTTAATTTGTGTAATTCTTTCATTTTTGTGTGTTAACAATAAATTTATCATCCCATGTCATCTTTGTTGTGTACCGTTATAAATTAAATGTTACCTCAAATGTTTGTTTGAATTATTTTTTCTGTAGGTTTTTTTTACCAAATAAAATATCTTTACTTAGTCTATAGAATAGGTACAAGGTCTATACAGAAATGATTCAACCATTTGAATGAAGCCCGTAGGTTTTAGTGGGGACTATACTTCTTCAAATCTTGTGCTACAGAATCAAAAACAAAAGAGTGTACCAAGTAATAGAAACCACATCACTTGACAACTTTCAACAACAGCTACAACTAAAATGTGTAGCACAAGGATGGCCAATCTGTGGTGCATGCTCCATAAGTGGCGCATTGGATGCTTACAAGTGGTGCATTGCATCCTTTTGATGAAAAGAAACTAAGCCAATTCTACTCATTCATTTCAGTGATTTTATATTTATTTCACATTCAAAACTCCTGGATACGCCCCTGGTCATAAGCATATATTTTTCAAATAAATAGATTTTATTATAACTTTAAAATATGTCCATATTACAACACATACTGAAAGGAAGTGAATGTTTGTGTGGCGCATTTAAATTAATTGTACAAAATATTGGTGCATGGAATCAAAAGGTTGGCCACCCCTGGTGTAGCACATGTAACTGGATGAGAAAATAAAGACATAATCAAGATGTTGACATTCCACACTACTTCAAACAAAAAGTTAGAAAGGAAGCCCCCCTGGAAAGAGTAATGACAGTTACTAGACTTGAGAAACCTATTTTCATGAAAATATTTTTTAAGAGAGAAATTTTATAAATTTTAGCTGAAGGTAACACTGGCTGCTCAGTCAATGAATGCTAAATGTTTCTTTATAAGGGAACAGCTAATATTACAATTACCATTACCATTTAATATGG